AAAGCACAAAGTAATGCACATAATATTTCCTCTAATGATGGGCATAATATAACCGTACGCATGACTGATCAAAATAATCAAGCACCAGAGGCAGTGACAAAAACATCAAATAAGTTTGATATCTTGTCTGTGGAAAGTTGTTCTGATAATGAAAGCGACACAAATGTAGATGATAGTACTTTGAAGCTCAACACTATATTGCCATCGGAATCTAGACTAAATAGCCCAAACGTCGACTCGAGGAAATATGATAATGCACAAAAGAAAAATCAGTCAACCCAATCTTATGGTCAAAGCAAAAAGTCTAATTCAAAGTCCAATGATAATAATCGTAGTTATCGTACTGCGAATTCGAAGAGAGCCGCTACATCTCAAAAGGGCACTACAAATCAACCTAGTAAGCTTGTATTTATAGCTGGAGATTCAATAGTCGAACATGTCCACAGCTGGGAGTTATCTGATGCTGAACGGCGAGTAGCTGTAAAATCATTTTCAGGTATACGTGAGATATGCGTGACTTCCTTAAGATATGCGTGACTTCCTTAAACCACTTATCCGCAAAACACCTGATGAGGTGATACTACACATAGGCACCAACGATGTAAAAGATAATTCGAAGACAGCAGAAATGGTTGCAGCTGGTATCCTGAATCTGGGTACTCAGGTTAAAGAATCTTTGCCACGTACCAAAGTAAGCTTCTCAAGTATAACTGTCAGGAAAGACAGGCATTCTATTCAAAATAAAATAGAACATGTTAATGCTATACTTAAACGCATGTGCATTGAAAATAATTGGACCTATATAGATAATAGCAACATTGACTATACTTGTTTAAATAGGCGTGGTTTATATCTAAATAAAAACGGAAGCTCAATTATTAGTAAGAATTATAGCAACATTTACGCTTAAATTGATATAATGTACAGCCAGGTGGAAACAGGCATACACCGACTAAGCCATGCTTACCTAATGTAAAGGGTTTTAAAATGGGTATACTTAACATAACTAGCTTACCTAAACATATAGAAGAAATTAGAGTAATATTAGCTGAAAAATGTCTCGATATTCTCGCACTAAATGAGACAAGACTAGATAATAATATTACCAATCAGGATATGTTTATTCACAATTATGATTTAATTAGGGCCGATCGTTCTAGAACAGGGGAGGCGTCTGTTTATATATAAGAAATTCCATTAATTATTTCGAACGAAAAGATCTGACTAGAGATAATCTTGAAGCAGTTTGTATTGAGGTTAACAAACCCTCTTCTGCATCGTTTATTGTTGGTACCATTTTTAGACCTCCAGGTGCTTCTGTCGACTCTTTTGCCAATATTGAGCAATTAATTAAACTTATAGATGATGAGAATAAGGAATTTTACATGCTTGGTGATTTAAATGTCAATATGCTTGACGTTTCAAATAATGCCACAAAAAACTTAAATTCAATCATTGAACTATATCAGTTAACACAAACAATAAGCTCACCCACTCGCGTGACCATGACTTCATCTTCTCTGTTGGATGTTTGTCTCACCCCAACTCCAGATAAGTTAGTCTTATCTAAAGTGGTGCAGATTGCTATCAGCGATCACTATATGATTATAGTTGTTCGTAAAATTAATATTCGTCCTAAACAAGACAACCCGCCACAAGAAAGTCGAAATTCGAAACTTTAAGTATTTTAATGCAGAAAATTTCCTAATGGATTTGAGTAATCAGGAATGGGAGTTGTTGGACAATAACTTCTGCGTTGACAGGATGTGAGAAACATGGAAAATTATTTTCTTGTCAGTTCTAGACAAGCATGCACCAATTAGAGAAAAGAGAGTAAAAAATGTACCAAATATTCCTTCGCTGACTAATGCAATTAAAAAACAAATACGTGAACGGGATCGTCTCAAATTCCTTGCCGTTAAATATAATTCAGAAAATTACTGGACTGCATATAAAACTCTAGAAACCATATAACTAGTACACTGCGAGACGCAAAAACAGCATATTATAAAGCACAATTTGAAAGTGTCAAACATGACCCTAAAAAGCTTGGAAAACCGTTAATAAAATCCTTAACCGGAAACAAGAATGTCGCGAAATAAATTGTATCCATACTCAGAATGGTCAAATTTCTTGTCCAAATGAATTAGCGGAGCGCTTTAATAATTACTTTACTGACATTGGTCCAAAAAATGCCACAACCATTGGTAACACTGACAGAAATTTCACGGATTACATAACAAAAACAACAAGTAGTTTCAAGTTTCAAACAGTGTCTGAAACCAAAGTATACAAACTTCTCTCCTCTTTAAATCCTTCTAAATCTACTGGAATTGATAAAATTCCCGCTAAAGTTATTCGTATTGCTGCGCCAATAATTGCAAATTCACTGACAAGAATTTTTAATACGGCAATCTATAGTGAAACTGTTCCTTCAGAGTGGAAACTAGCGAGAGTTATCCCTTTACAAAAAATGGCCCTCGAAACATGCTGAATAACTATCGCCCAATTTCCATTCGGCCTATAGAAAGTAAAATTTTTGAAAAAGTTCTATATGATTATTTGTTGTTAATAATTTGTCTCAAAATTAATTTGGTTTTAGGCAGTTCAATTCTACAGCTTCTGCCCATTTGGACAGTACTAACGAATGGTTCATTTATATGGACCATAGGCGTACCGGGCGGGGGGGCGGGGGGGGCGGCCGCCCCCCCCAGTTTTTTGGGCAGTCGGGCAATATTCGATTAGTAGTCGGGCAATTTTGGGTTGTTATAAAAAAAAATCGGACAAATTCTGTAATTTTTTTCAAAAAATTAGTCAATTTTGGGGCAAATGTATTTTTTTGTGAAAATTAATGTGATTCTGCGAAAAATTTGGTACGTCCGGAAAATTTTTTTGACCCCTAAAACCCCATTTTCGACCAATTGAGTAATCATGTCTCAAGTGAGCTGCATAACCTCCAATATGGATTTCTCTGGGGGCCGCCTACAACATCACAATTACTACAGGTTCTACACGAGTTTGGTGAGTCACTCGACAAAAGAATCCAAACTGATTTCCTTTATCTCGATTTCGCTAAAACGTTTGACAGGGTTAATCATCATCATCAGCTGCTTCTCAAGAAACTTGCTGAGCTGGTTTCAAAACCATCTAACAGTTTGCCATCAACATTTGAGGCAAAATATCACGAACAATACCAGTTCTATCAGGTGTTCCTCAGAGTTCAATCCTTGGTCCTTTATTGTTTCTTGTATACGTGAATGATATGCCTGAAAAGTCCACTGTATCGTCTGTTGCACTGTTCGCTGATGATACCAAGTGTTATCATACCATAACCACAACAGATGACGTAAAAGATCCTCAATGTGTTCTGGATGGAATCAGCCAATACTCAATAGTTTTGGACGTGGCGCATGAACCTTAAAGGATATTGGCAACCAAAATTTTTATTGCTTCATCTGAAAGAGCATGAAAAAATAAGCCGGTTGGCCGTTTAATGCTCTATTCTATCTCATCTAATTCCGACGTTATACGCAAAAAATGTGCAAAATATAAATTGCTGATTCAGCACAACGTGTGACGTCATTAGTTGGGTAAGTATGTTTATTGAATAGTAAACTAAAGCATAGCTAAGTTATTATTGGCTCAAATCAAATGAAATTTTGCATACAGAGAGTACATGATGAGACGCATTGGAAAATACTTCTAATTTTGTTGTCAAGGCTACACAGTCGTTCCCAGGCCCCTTACACTGATTTTAAATAACTAGTTGCATTTATCTATGTGTATGTCATTTTCGAATTATTATCATGCAAGTAAACTTTTGGCATACACAGGTATGGTACACATACTTCTGATATTATTTTAACCTTATCAGTACCATGAATAAAGCTGTTTTATAAAATTGGCGCAAGGGGCCTGGGAACGACATTGTTACCTTGGCAACAAAATTAGAAGCGTTTTTCAATGCGTCTCATCATGTACAATCAGTATGCAAAATTTCATTTGCGGTAACAAGGAATCTCAAACCCATGCAGTCATCTTACCATCTCAACAACATAACTCTGCCAACTCAGAGGTCATCTGTAAAAGGGTTGTTCAAAAAAGATCTTGAGCACTGCAGATCTCAAATGGAAGCAACAAGTTTCTGCTGTATGTGCGAAACAAACAGAATGCTTGGGTTCGTAAAAGGTCCTGCATTAACATGCATGATCCTCGTGCACGTACCGCACTTTATAAAACTAACGTACGAAGTCGTTTCGCGTACAGTTCACAAGTCTGGTCCCCACAGTCTGTATCTTTACTCCTCGAACTCGAGAAGATTCAAAGAAGTGCAATGAGATTCATTCTATCGCTGTCGTTTAGATCTGAAACTAGTTACCAGGACAGAATATTAAAAACAGGTTTACTTCCTCTGTCTTACTGGCATGAGTACCTGGAATTGGTATAGTATCAACTGAATTATGGTATCACCAGGATCTCTACAACTATAAACAGTGTAACAATAGCAATGATACACCAGGTGGAAAGCGTAATTTAGAAATGAAAATTAAAGCCCAGCAAATGACTTCCAGACAAGACATAACAAAAATATAAAATGTATTTTTTGTCGAGCGCTTTTAACTTGAGCCCCTGGCTCGGAAGATTGGGCGACCACTTCCTACGTCTTTCGACTTTAAATAAATCATTATCATTATCATTATTGGCTAACGTTTCGTTGTATTGTTCACAACATCTTCAGAGCAATTAAATTTATTTACAAGCGTGTATTATATATGTATACAAATAGTTTCAAACGGTTACAATAGTTAAATAAGCGAATAAGAGGAAAGGATGAAGAACAACCTGTCAGTAAAAATATTAATAAATTAAAGATATATAATGGTTAGTAATTAGATGCCTATTCTAATGTGTGTGTTTGAAGTGTGTGGAAATTGGGTTTAATTTCAATGAATATACATCCACAATGTTTTTGAATGTTTCATGAATGTTCCATCCTGAATGCTTTTCAGAATGAGGTTCTGCATGTGCCCTCCGGGGTCCCCCAGGGAACAAAGCTAGGACAATGGTTATTTCTTGTCTTAATCAACGATTTAAATCTTTGCAATATCCAGAATGCTGACATGTGGAAATATGTTGACAATACAACACTTCCGAAGTTGTAAAGAAAGGAAATAAGAGCAACGACCAACTTATAGTTGACAGAGTATCTCATTGGTCCACGGTAAACAGAGTAAAACTAAATAGTGACAAGTGCAAGGAACTAAGAATTTCCTTTGTGAAAGACCAACCAGATTTTTCATCCGATTGTTATTGATGGAAAGTGTTTAGAAGTTGTAAAGAGTGGGAAGTTGCTCGGCGTAAAGCTAACAACTAACCTTCTGTGGAATCATCATATCA